GGTTTCAAACCTGTGGCTTCAGGCAGTCCTCTCACCTCAGCTTCCCAAAGTGCTAGAATTACAGGTGCGAGCCACCGTGCCCAGCAGACTAAGGTCTTTTTGTCCCTTAATAGAGGTGCCATTTTCTCTTCACATGGAACTTTCCAAGGCTTGACCCACCTTATGGGAATTTAGGTCAGGAAGGACTCATTGCAGGATAAGATTTGTTCTATCATGACTTTCTTTTCATTGAGTAAATCTATGCCCATTTAGGCCCAGTAACACTAGACAGCAGAAGCTACTTAGAAGTGAGAAAAAGTCCTATAGTCCCAATGACCTGAGGTAAATAAGTTCTGGTGGTTCTTATTGCTGAAGTTTTCAATTACCTGTAAACTTGGTCACAGATATCCATAACTCCACCAAACCTGGAGGAGGTTAGTGGTTCCAGGGAAAAGCTTGATTTACTGCTACTCAGATTGCTTTGAAAACTTCTTGCTCTGGCAGTTCTTCTTTCTTTCTTTCTTTTTTTTTAAGTTGGAGTCTCACTCTGTCACCCAGACTGGAAGGCAGTGGCATGCTCCCGGCCACCGCAGTCTCGACCTGCTGGGCTCAGGTGATCCTTCCGCCTCAGGCCTCCAAGGAGCTGAAACTATAGGCACGTGCCACCATGCCCAACTAATTATTATTATTTTCTTAAATAGGGGATAAGGTCTCGCCAAAGTTGCCTAGGCTGATCTCGAACCCACAGACTCAAGCAATCTTCTCACCTCAGCCTCCCAAAGTGCTGGGATTATAGGTGTGAGCCCGGCCTGGCAGTTCTTATCAAACATGACCACCTATCCAGTGGCCTGGGCCTGCAGTAGATGTTTGTTGCCAATATCTAATGAGGACAATCAGGTATTAAGAATATATATATATATATTTTTGTAGTTAGCAGCTGCGGTGACAAAATGCCTCTTTTATGGTCCATGAAATGTCTCTTTGGATTAAGGCCTGTATGCCTCCCCAGAGGGACCCTGGAGGGGCCTTGGATTTTGTGCTCATTCAAGACCCATCTGTGCTTAGTGGGCATGCAATGCAATACAATAAGTTTTCTTGAAGGATGTCATTTTGAAAAAGACACCACATGAAGAAATTATTGTTAAAAATTGTTTAGGTATCATAATGGGTATGATAGTATATGTTTTTAAAAACATGTCCTGGCTGGGCTCGGTGGCTTAGCCTGTCATCCCAGCATTTTGGGAGGCCAAGGCGAGTGGATTGCCTGAGCCCAAGGGTTCGAGACCAGCCCAGGCAACTTGGTGAGACCTCATCTGTACAATAAATCAAAAATTAGCCAGGCGTGGCAGTGAGCTGTGGTTCCAGCTACTTGGAACACTGAGGTGGAAGGATCACCAGAGCCTAGCCAGTCGACGCTGGGGTGGCCATGAGCATGCCATGGCACTTCAACCTGGGCGACAGAATGAGACTCCAACTCAAAAAAAAAAGGCCTTATTGTTAACTGATACGTACTGAGAAACTTATGAGTGAAATGCTATGGCAACTGGGATTTGCTTTTAAATGATATGGAAGTGAGGGAAAAAGAGGGGAATATAGCAGAAACCAGACTGGCTACAAGTTGATAATTATTGAAATTGATGAATGGGATCATAATGGTACCACAAACATTAGAGTGAAATAAAGACATTTTCAGTTAAAGGGAAACAGACTAAATTCATTATCAGAAGACCTGCACCAAAGAAATACTAAAGGGTGTTTTTCAGGCTAAGGAAATTGATACCAGATGGAAACTTGGATTTATAAGCAGGAATGAAGAGCATGGGAAATGGTAAATGTGTGGGAAAATATAAAAAATTTAAATTATTTTAAAATCATATGAATGTTTAATCAAAAGCAATGTATTGTGGGATTTATAAGAAATATAGATGTAATATATAATAACAAAAGATGGGAATGCAAAGTTAAAGATGCATGTTGTACTTTCTAGCAAAAATTTGAAAGAATGGCCAGGCTCTGTAATCCCGCGCCTTTGGGAGGCCGAGGTGAGTGAATTGCCTGAGCCCGCGGGTTCGAGACCCGCCTGGGCAACTTGGAGAGCCCTCATCTCTATAATAAAAATAAAAAAATCAGCCAGGCATGGTAGTGCACGCCTGTAATTCCAGCTACTCAGAAGGCTGAGGTGGAAGGATCGCCAGAGCCCAGCAGGTCAAGGCTGTGGTGGCCGGGAGCGGCCACTGCACTCCAGTCTGGGCGACAGAGTGAAACTCCAACTCAAAAAAAAAAAAAAATTGAAAGAATGCAAGAAGTATCACTGAAAAGTCAATAAACACTTAAAATGAAATACAAAACAAAAACAAACAAATAAACAAAACCCTTTCGATTAACTTAAACCAAGGCAAGAGAGAAGGAATAAAATTATAAAACAAATGGGACAACCAAACAACAGATAATAAAACTGAGACTTGAATTTAATCAAATCAGTAAGTTATATTTACCCTAAAATTAAATGGCAATAATTGTCAAATAAGCTTCAAAAAAAAAAATCTAGGATCTAACTATATACTGATTATGAGGAACATTCTTTAACTCTAAAAACACTGGTTGGTTAAAAGTAAAAGCATGGAAAAAGATATACCATGCAAATAGTAAGCACACAAATATAGATGGCAACATTAATATTAGACAAAATAGATATTGATATAAGAAATATTACCAGAGAGCTAAAGGGACATTTTTTAATGATGACTGTCAATTCTTCAAAAGACATAACAATTATAAATGTATATGTATCAAATAGCAGAATTTCAATCAAAATTGACAGAATTAATTAATAGAACAACTAAAAAAAAATATCAGTGATTATATAGAAGACCTGAGCAATTCTCAACTACTTTAACCTAATTGATATTTATGGAAAACTAAGCCCAACAACTTCTAAATATATATTCTTTCTATGGACAAAAATATCATTCATCCATGTAGGTCATTTTTTTGGTCTACAAAATAAGACTCAATACATTTCAAAATGTTGAAACCTTATGACTTAATATGTTTCAAAATGTTGAAATCTAATAAAGCATATTCTCTAACAGCAATGCAATAAAATTTAAAATTGTTGGAAATAAAATATCTAGACAATCCCCAAATATTTGGAAAACAACCCACTTCTAAATAATCTGCAGTCATAAGAAAAACCACAAGGGACATTAGACAATATTTTGAACTGAATGATGAAGAAAAAAATATATCTATAAGTGTGTAATGTAACTGAAGCATAGCATAACAACTTAAAATTCATTTTAAGTGACTATATTAGAAAAGAAAAAAAAGAAAGTTTAAAATTAATTATCTAAATTTCCATCTTAAGAAACTGGAAAAAAAGAGCAAATTACATTCAAAGTAGGAAGAAACACACGATAAAGATAAGCATGGAAATCAATAACATAGAAACTGGACCAACAATAGAGAAAAATCTATGAAAACAAAAGCTATTTTTTTTAAGAAAATAGCAATAAAATGGATAAACTCCTAACAAGAGTGATTTTAAAAAGAGAACACAGCCGGGCTCGGTGGCTCAGCCTGTAATCCTGCGCCTTTGGGAGGCTGAGGTGAGTGGATTGCCTGAGCCCGCGGGTTCGAGACCCGCCTGGACAGCGAGACCTCATCTCTACAATAAATAAAAAAAAAAATCAGCCGGGCATGGTAGCGCATGCCTGTAATTCCAGCTACTTGGAAGGCTGAGGCGGAAGGATCGCCGGAGCCCATCAGGTCGAGGCTGCGGTGGCCGGGAGCGGCCACTGCACTCCAGTCTGGGTGACAGAGTGAGACTCCAACTCAAAAAAAAAAAAAAAAAAAAAGAGAACACAAATTATTGATATCAGTAATGAAAAAGAGGATATTTCTACAGATCTTATAGACATTAAAAACGATAGTAAAAGAAAATGAAACACTTTAAATCGTCATTTTTCAGATTTCTTAGTTGTTTCTAATAGGTATTTTTAGATTCTGCCCTACATAGTTCACGAATTGAGAAAGTTTTACTTCTTCCTTTCCAAATCATATGCTTTTTTCCTTGCTTCATTGAACTGACTAGAACCTTCGATACATGCTCAATTGAAGAAGAGAGAGTGAACCTTCTCGCTTTGTTCCTGATGAGAGGAAGGCGTTTAAAATTTGAACACCAAATGAGATGTAGCTATTGGTTTCTACTCTAATTGCACTGGGAAGTCATTGTATTGCTTTGCTGGCATGAGTGACTTGAGCTGCTGTGTGGAGAATGGACTCTAGGAAGACTAGATTCTGGAATCTTCTCAGGGAGATGAATCCCCAGACTGTTGGAATAGCGCAGAAAAGATATAGGTGTCTTGGACCAGAGCAATAGCAGTGGAGATAATGAGAAGTAGTTTACTCTGGGGATATAGATTAGAGGTAGAGCTGACAGGACTTGCTGGTTTATTGAATTTAGATGAAAGGAAAGGAAAAAAAAAATCAGGTTTACGGCTCAAACAACTAGGTTGACCTCAGATGTTTTTATTTCTGTGAATCTTAGATATTGTTATCATTCACCTTCCTCTTTAGAATGGAAAATTCAAAGTGGATACAGTATTTTTTTTTTTTGAGTTGGAGTCTCACTCTGTTGCCCGGGCTGGAGTGCAGTGACACACTCACAGCCACCACAGCCTCCCAAGTAGCTGGAATTACAGGCGCACACCACCATGCCCAACTGGTTTTTTGAATTATTGTAGCGATGAGATCTCACCAAGCTACCCAGGCTGGTCTCAAACCCCTGGGCTCAGGCAATCCTCTCACCTTGGCCTCCCGAGGTGCTGGGTTTACAGGCTTGAACCAACACGCCCGGCTACGATATTCATTTTAAAATCTAGCCTTATTTCATTCAGGGCTTAATTTTTTTTTGATAGGTAGAACATTGAAGAAAGAATAATGACCAATATTTATACCGAATTTTTAGTCAACTTTAGATATTAGTGTTCCGAACTAAATTTCTATATCTTCCTTTTTAGGTTTGTCCAAGACTGGTTTTCAGAAAGAATACAAGTGACCAAAGTGGATTTCTCTACAGTGTTACCACGCTTCATTTCTCTATATATCTTTTCCTTTTTGAATCCGAAAGATTTATGTGCAGCTGCCCAAGTCAGCTGGCCCTGGAAGTTTTTAACTGAACAGGTTTACTACTTGTCACCTCCTAGTAACAGGGCACAAATACAACTGTAATCTGTCATGGGACTATTGGGGTAGCTCCTTTTCCTGAAGAGAATAGCTGAGGGCACCTGAACCATAATTAACTTACCCTTAAGAGAAAAAAGATGGGGACATGTGAAATACAATAATTTACTTCTATAAATAAATCAGAGAATTACACTATTCCAACTTGTATAATTTTAAACACCTTTAAATGTTCAGTGCAATGATTTAGAAAATATCTAATCTCGGTTAAAGTAGTTCATTTTTCTTCATGAAAATAGATCTGATCTTCGGAATTTATACGATGTTGTTTTACCTATGATAACTCAGCTCTAGAAAACTGCTTCACACTGACGGCTTCAGCTGCTCCCTCCTTGGCTGACATCTGTAGAGAACATACATCTTAATCTTTTAGAGGCAGCTAAAAGGAGTTAACAGCAGCAGCTGTTTAAAATCAACACCCTCTGCCAATATTTCTGCCTGGCCTATTTGTCTCTTCATTTTTGTTGAGAAGATTTAATAAAATGCAATGGTAGACATACTTTAAATACAAGTCAGTAATTTAGTTTTTTATATTGTACAAAATTTCCAAAGTGGGCTTGTGTTGAGATCTGATCTCAGAGACGAGTCAGCTCTCTATGGAGGGGTCACAGGCAAAAGCCTTCTGTGAGTCCTGGGTTTCTAGCACATAGAGAGAGTCCTCAGAATCCGGTGTTAGTGTTTGTATGGCATATTGTCTTCTTTTTACTTTCAAACTTTTGATGTCTATATATTTACGCTATGTCTTGTAAACAGAGTATGGTGATGGTAGGGGTGTGTGTGTGTGTGTGTGTGTGTGTGTGTGTGTGTGTGTGTGTGTGTGTGTGTGTAACATTTGGCAATCTTTAACTTTTAACTGGAGTATTTAGTCTGTTTATATTTATGTAAGTATGTATATTTGGGTTTAAATTCGTCATCTTACTATTTATTTTTTGTTTGTTCCTTTTTTTCCTTTCGTTGTCTTCCTTTGGATTAATTAAATCTTTTTTGATTGTTAATTATGAATTCTTTAACGGTTCTTTCATGGCTACCATAGAGATTACAGCATCCATCCTTGTGTTGTTTACCATCTCCAAGACAATGCAAGGAGCTTAGAATCCTTCAACTCTATTTACATCCCCCCATTTCTGTGCTTGTGTTGTTAAATACTTTTTATTTTATATATCGATATGTATATTATTATATGTATGTATACATACATACATACATACATATATATATTATTGACCCTTGAACAATGTGAGGGTTTGGGGTGCCAATACTCCGTGTAGTTGAAAATTAATGTATAACTATTAATTCCCCCAAAACTTAACTACTGATAGCCTACTGTTGACTGGAAGTCTTACCAATAACACAAACAATTGATTAACACATGTTTTGTGTTACATACATGACATACTGTATTCTTCCACTAAGTAAGCTAGAGAAAAGAAAATGTTACTGAGAAAAATGTGCCACCATAAAGAAAGAATGAAATCATGCTCTTCACAGCAACATGAATGGAGCTGGAGTTCGTCATCCTGAGTGAACTGACTCAGAAATGGAAAATCCAAACATCTCATGTTCTCCCTCATATGAGGGAACTAAATGGCCATAAAGATGGAAATAGTAGGCACTGGGGACACCAATAAGGGAGGAGGTAGGAAAGGGGACCAAGGTTCAGAAATTACCTATTGGGTACAATGTTCACTGTTTGGGGAATGGGCCACCTGAGACCCCAACATACAAGAGTAGCTCTTAAATCTAAAATTAAAAATGGGGGACAAAAAACACTGTAAGGAAGGGAAAATATATTTATTTACATTAAGTGGAATTGGATCATCATGAGGCAGAAACAAATAAATAATTTTATAAACGAACTAAACCTGTACTGTTCAAGGACATATATATATATACATATAGACATATAACATACATAGCTCACAAGACTCTATTACCATTGTTTTACATAGTCAGTATTTATTTATAAGTAACTATATATTTATTTTTTCCATTTTTAAATTTTTTCTGTTTCTGTATCTTTGAGTTTCCACTGGGTTCATTTTCCTTTTGAATCCTCTTTAATATTTCATCTCTTGCAGGTCTACTGCTGAGAAATTCTCTTAGTTTTTGTTTGTCTGAAAATATCTTTATTTCACCTTCATAGTTAAAGGATATTTTCATTAGAAATTTGAATTTTAGCCTGAGCTCACGGGTTCGAGACCTGCCTGGGCAGCGAGACCTCATCTCTACAATAAATCAAAAAATCAGTCGGGCGTGGTAGCACATGCCTGTAATTCCGGCTACTCGGAAGGCTGAGGCGGAAGGATTGCCAGAGCCCAGCAGTCGAGGCTGCGACCACTGCACTCCAGTATGGGCGACCGAGTGAGACTCCAACTCAAAAAAAAAAAGAAAAGAAAAAGAAATTTGAATTTTAGGTTGGCAGTTAATTTTTTATAGAACTTTGAAAACATTCCATTGTCTTCTGCCTCCATAAATTGTTTCTTGTGAATTCAGAAGTTTTATTGTTGTTTGTTTGTTTATGTGTATGTATGCATGTAGTTTGTACTTATTTGAGTCGAAGTCTCACTCTGTCACCAAGGCTGGAGTGCAGTGGCACATTCACGGCTACTGTAGCCTCAACCTGCTGGGCTCAGGCAATCCTTCCACTTCAGCCTTCCAGGTAGCTGGAACTACAGGTGGGCACCACCACGCCTGGCTAATTTTATTTATTTATTGTAGAGACAAGGTCTCACCATGTTTCCCAGTCTGGTTTGAACCCCTGGACTCAGGCAATCCTCTTGTCTTGGCCTCCCAAAGTGCTGGGGTTATAGGCATGAGTCACTACACCCAGCCCCGTTGTTCCTTTAAAAGGAACAATTTTATTGTCTCTAACTGCTTTTTAAACCTTTTTTTCTGTCATTTTTTTCCAGCAATTTTATTATGATGTACTATGGGTGTGTATGTGTATTTATCTTGTTTTGTGTTTTACAGTGATTTAAAAATCTGGGATGTAATGTCTTTCATCAGTTTTGAAAAGTTTTTCATATATTGCTTATCCCTTCATATATTGTTTCTGCCCCCATTATCTCTCTCTTTTCCTCTTGGGATTCTGAAACATAGATTAGACTAAAAAGAAGAGCTCTGGTCTGTAAGTTTCATATTCTCATATATACATTTTTCATTCTTTTGACCTTCAGTGTTTCAGTCTGGATTTTCTTCTGACCTATCTTTCTGTTTGCTAATTATTTTTCTTTAGCTGGATTCAAATCTGACCTCAAACCTACCCATTAAGTTCTAAATTTCAGTTATTATGTTTTTCTAGAATGTTGATTTGATTCTTTTGCCAAAAATTTCTGGCTAGTTATTTGATTTCTTAGACTTATTAATTATAGAATATTGCCCCTGGATTTCAAATCTGATCATTACAATGTCTGGATCTCCTGAGGATCTCTCTATAGTTACTAAAAACCCAAAGGAGAAACAAACAATTCTCATATATTTGTGTGCTCTGGCTAATTTTGACTGAATTTATCTGATATTGAGTATAAAAAACTGATGTGATCATTTGAGTCTCTGGATGAAGTTATCTTCCTCCAGAGAGAATTTACTTTTGTTTCTGGCATGTGGTTAGGCTAGGAACAGGTCACATAAATCCAAATGGGGAGTGAGATATTTCAAAGTGGGATTCAATCCTTATAATAGTTTGTCTAATTCAGTATCATCCTTCCTGAAAAGGATCACATCTGAAAGCCTGGGCTTTTTACCAGGGCTCTTCTTCTTAGAGGGCCTTGGATTTCAATTTGTGTCCTCTCCTCCCTGTGAGAATACCTAAAATTCTTTTTGGCTTCTAAGTCTTTCAGTCATAACTTTCTGCTCCGCTTCTCAGCCTAATAAGTTTTGCTTTGGAACTGGCAAATGCCTTGAAATAAAAAGTGATGCCAAATATCAGGCTTACCTCTCTGAATTTCCCTTCTTTCTGGGATCTTGGTTGCATGAGATAGTTTATAGCATTGACAGCTTTATGACATAGCCTTCAAATAGTTGTTTTTATAGTTTGATTATTTGGAACCACACGAAATTTGCTGTATGTCAAAATGGTTGCATTTTGGCAATAGCATATGGATCAATCAAAATTATTCTCAATGAGAGGGCTGTTCTAAAACAAACTATTTCACCATTTCTAGAAGCTGAATTATCAGAATCAGGGTTAATGTAACCAAATGCTATGGAAATATTGGCTAAGTGTCACAAAGATGGCTAATACATATACTCATATATAATATGTATTTCATCCAATATTTTCCCTATGGAATAAATACTTCTTACTTACAAGCCAAGTTTAGACGGCAAGTCAATTGTACCAGGAATCTCAATGTAATTTTAAAAAATAATCCGTGTACCTGAAAATTATTGCTAGAAAATTGTCTTTAAAAATGTGGAATCTTTCTCTTGTTTGTTTTTCTGAAGGACTGCTTATGGATGCCCAAATGCATTAAGTTTGGATGGTTTCTGCCCTATACTCCAACAGATAATGAGTATGGTGCTTGGAAGCACCATTACATTGCTTGTGTGTCTAGCTTAGATTGGCTAACACCTAGGGAAGCTGCTGCTATTTATGGGACACTAAACGAACCCAAAACAGAAGAGGAGGAGCTCCTGGAGAGACAAAGAGAAAAGTGCCTAAGGAAAATAATTTGGGAGAAAATTGCCCTACATAAGAGTGAGTAGCATCTGAAAACTTTATAACTTATGTAAGCACTGTAGGAACAAATGGATTTACATACAAATTCTCACAGAAAAAGATAGCCCTATCTTTCTGGAATAGTGTGTGGGTGTCACTCTTTAAAGTATGTTCAGAATGAGCTCTTTTTTCTTTATTGTGTATTTCAAGTTAATTGGTAAGAAAAACAAAAAAGATTTCAGGTGAACAACAAAAGCTTAAGTATCAGTACCTCCACTGCAATCCTAAATCCTCTCAGGTTTACAAGACCAAAAACGATGAGGAGAAAGAAGTATGAACATAGGAAAAAAGCAAATAAATAGGTTCAGAACAGAATAATTGGTGAAAAAAGAGGTAAACTGAAAATGAGAATGGAAGCAGGAAAAAAAGCAAGTAAAAAAGGGAGAGGAAAGAGAGGAGGAACCGGCCATGCTTACAGTTAACCTTTCTGATTTACAGTGTGTAAAAGAAAGCAACAAAACTGATTTGAGTTCTACCATCTTTTTTTCTTCACTGACTCACTCTCTGGCGAGATTGTAACAAATAGGAAATCACTTCAAGCCAGGAAGAAGGGTACAGATGAATGTGAAGCCTATAAATTGATTAACTGGTTTTCCCGAGAAAAGGGTTGCTTGTTTGCTGAGCTTTGTTTCTTGACCTGAAATGACTGGTAACACGCAGCCACAGGACTAAGTGGATAAGGAATCCAGAGTGTGTGAAAATGGCTATAATTATTGTCATTTGGAATATTGCCCTGGTACAGCTTTATTTTTGATGCCTTTATCTATGTGGACTTGGCTGGGAGAAGCATGAAGTAATCAGCCCAGCCTGCTGCTGTTTGTTTTTCAGAGGAGTTATTCAAAGTTCGACCCCCTTGGGTGAGTGGAACACGCTGCTCTAGCTTGTTAAAACCCAAATGCCAACCACGCCTCTCCCAGACTGTGAGAGAGCGAGTGGGATTACATGAAGCTTTGGAGAAACAGCTTGTTTTGGCATCGTTAGAAGCCTTGCCCAGGCGGTAAGCAAACTTCCATCTATTGAAGGCTCCAGACCATTCTAGGATACCTAGAATTCGTGCTAGAATAATTCAGCTAACATGCAGAAATCTTGTATCATTATATGGCTCATATCCTATAAAATATCAGTAGAAATAATGGTCTTAAACATAACTATAGACATAACAAGAACAGTGGTCTTAAACATGCTTTCTAAAGAGGGAACTATGTACATTCAAAACTTACTTAAATATTCTTCTTTTTTGTTTTTTGAGACAGGATCTCACTATGTTGCCCAGGTTGGTCTGTAACTCCTGGGCTCGTGCCATCCTTCCACCTCATCCTTCTTTTTTTTTTTTTTTTTTTTTTTTGAGTTGGAGTCTCACTCTGTCGCCCAGACTGGAGTACAGTGGCCGCTCCCCGCCACTGCAGCCTCGACCTGCTGGGCTCCGGCGATCCTTCCACCTCAGCCTTCCGAGTAGCCGGAATTACAGGCATGCGCTACCACACCCAGCTGATTTTTTGATTTATTGTAGAGATGAGGTCTCGCTGCCCAGGCGGGTCTCAAACCCGCAGGCTCAGGCAATCCACTCACCTCAGCCTCCCAAAGGCGTGGGATTACAGGCTGAGTCACTGAGCCTGGCTTGCTTTAAATATTCTTAACCCTGCAATGAAGCTATATTGTGGATGCTGTAGATTTTCTATAAAAAATTGTCAAGCAAAAATAACATTTTTCCACAAGTGTTTTTTATGGAGTAAGAGTATCCAAATGGTATCCAAATATATTCAAATATAACTTTCATTTATATTTGTATATATAAATATAACTCTCATTTATTACCCAAAATAGAGAAATATTGATGCATTTGGTGACCAAAGTCATACTGTATGATGAATTTACAGAAATTCAATCCTTATCCTATTCATGCATTCTATCTGATATTTATTTATTTATTTATTTTGAGTTGGAGTCTCACTGTCACCCAGGCTGGAGTGCAGTGGCACACTCATGGCAACTGCAGTTTTGACCTGCTGGGTTCAGGTGATCCATTCGCCTAAGCCTTCCAAGTAGCTGGAACTATAGGCACACACCACCATGCTCGGCTAATTTTTTTGTTTTTTTATTGTAGAGATGAGGTCTTGCCAAGTTGCCCAGGCTGATCTCGAACCCGGAGCTCAGGCAAACCTCTCACCTTGGCCTCCCAAAGTGCTGGGATTATAGGCATGAGCCACCGCACCTGGCTATCTGCCATTTATTACAATCACAACTTGTGCAATTCCTTAGACTTTTTTTTTTTCCTTTGGATTCTAGAGATCATGCAATCTAGCTCACCTATGTTTCAGATGAGGAAACTGGGGCCTAGAGAGGTAACATTACTTGCCCAAGGGTCATAGCGTCAAACATTAGAACCTGAAATTCTAAAATTCCATCAGTGCGTGAAGTCATTCAAATTCACCCACTGATGGTATAAGTGGATTTCTGTGTGTCTGAACATTCTGAGTGTGTGTGTATGTACATTTGCTTGTTCAAGGCACATATGTAATTTTAAGAAGCATAAGGCAGCTCCTGTTCTTGGTATATGGGGTTGGGGGTGGCTGTGGGGAGAATGAAGATATTACTCAGAAACCCCTGAGGCCCAGAAGGAAATTTAAAATCTCTCAACTACTCCTTTTAAGATGTCATTTTGAACCCCTGAGTATGTCATTACATTCAACTTAAATGCCCAGCAAGAGCTAAGTCAGTTCCAAGAGACCTTTCCAGCATCCCACAAATGGAGAAGAGGCCCAGAGGGCAGATTTGGCCTCACCCTGCCGGGGAGCCCCATTCACTGCTGCTCCCCCAAACCACAGGAAGAGTCTCCGACACTGAGGCCATTGCCTTGTAGAGTCCAGCTGCTGCCCAGAGGACATCTGCTGCTCATGTATCAAAATTCAAGGGAAGAAAAAAGTAAAACTTCACTTATTCCCCTTTTTTCCCCTTATAGAAGCAATATTTCTGGAAGTCATTCCTACCCTTTATTATCAAAGAGAAATGGGCTTGGAGTCTATAGAAATGATGACAGCTCTTCATGTGCTTTACAGCCACACTTCATATTAATATCATCTCGCATTCCTGCATATGAGGTAGGGTGTGTTATGAGACCAGCCTTTTCCTGAATCAGCTTTTCATCTAGACGAGAGGTTGTGTGGCAGTCTTTTGGCCACCATGTGTATGAAATTGATTCATCTCCTCAAAGGAAAATCATCTAATCTAAGTGAAAATTTACAGACCCAACAGTTTTAAAAATCAGAAGCAATAAAGGTAACCATAAATCAAAAATTATTTTGAAAAAGCACTTAGTGCCTTGCACTTAGTAGGTGTCCAATACATTTTTATCGAATTAAATTTATTGCACCCAATCCACAGAAAAAGCAGGAGGATTAAGAATTACTTTAAAACTCCTTTGGAATTCCCAAAGAATTTAATGCTATTACATAATCATCATCTTACAAAAGAAGAATGTCTATTTTGTGACCTATTTAATGAAGTTGTCATTAAATTAAAATGTGCTCTCTCTGTAATGAAGTCATATATTTCAATATGAATAATAAGAAAAACAAAGCATAAAGAAGACCTAGAAAGACAAATGTATCTATGTATATATGTAAGTGTAGATATATGTATATATGTATACATGTATATATTTATGCATATACAGAGGGACATACACTTAGTTTTCAAAAATGTCCTATTTGTAAAAAATGGCTAGTTGCAAGATATGAAATCACTTCTGAGCATTTAGAATTGGCTCTAATCATTGGCAACTGCTGAGCTCAATAGAGTCACATGAAAGCGAGATCAGACTTTGATCTTCATGTGGATGACAGATAGTTTCCCTAATGTTCAAAATGCATCATGCTGGGCACAGAGAATAATCAGCAACATAGTATGGATGAATAAATTCCCCTATGTGTCCTCTTTATATAAGACTAGCAACATAATTACTTATTGTTTCATGAGTGTAATGGGAGTTCAGGTAAAAAATAGGACATTTCCATGTGGGAGTTTTCCATTCAGTTGAACTATGATGTACAGAAAGTCGCATGAGATTTTGGAAAAAATCGACAACTTTGATGACTTCCCAACCTACCTGTCTGCTGCTGTGAATTAACTTTATCATGATGAAAAGTTTACTTGGTTAGTGAATCCAAAAAACAGTGGTTATACTGTTTATTTAAATGGAAAATGATTACCAGACAATAATGATAATCCAAAAATTTATAATTAAGAGGAAAATTTTAAGTCTACTTAAGAAGTCCATTGCAAAATTGTGTTATCTCAACTGTATTGTGAAAGTTGTTTATATGTCTCTGGCATGGTGTGTACAAAGATAGAAAGGCTGGAAGATAATCTAAATTGTTAGTGGTATTTATCCTGAGTGATGAAGTCATAAGTGTACTTAATTTTCTCCTCTTATAATTAGAAAAGACATTTCAAAAGTCTAAGAAGAAACCAATAAAGAAAGAAGCCTATCTTCTTCCTCCCATAATTTTTAAAAGGAAAATTCTTTAAAATTCACAGCATATTTTGTATTAATTATATTGCTCTTATTACCAAGTATTCTAAAATAGTGGACCTTGTTACCTACCGCTTTGGATTCATTTTCTAGATGGTAGTCGAGAGCGTGAAGGCTGGTGTTGTTTCTGTGGTGTATGAACACAGTGGCATGACGCTGGAGAGTCTGCTCTATCTCATAGGAAAAGCTCTGACTGGACGGAAGGCACAGAGCATGGGAATATTTAGCGATGGAGATAGCAGAGAAATCAATTTACTCCAAGGTAGGTCCAGGGATTGGCAAGGAACAACCACACAGACAGTGCTTGTGCAGTGTTTGTTCACATGCGTGATATTCAGAGAACTAATGCAGTTCCAATTTTCCAAGTGTTGATTTTGGCTTTATGAAGAAAGGGAAACCTTTTTTTTTTTTTTTAAACTTTAAATCGTGAGGATTTGTTACTTGGGTATATTGTGTGAAGGTGTGGTTTGGGCTTTTTGATGATTTTTTAAAATTGTGCCTAAGGAAATGCATAACATAAGACAACTATTTTTAAGTTTGCAGCTCAGTACTGGTAAGTATGTTCACATTGTTGAGAAACAGTTCTCCAGAACTTTTTCATCTTGCAAAACTGAAACTCCGTGCCCATTAAAAAACAATTTCCTTTCTCCCCTCCCCACAACCACTGGCAACCACCTTTCTACTTTCTGTTTCTATGAATTTGAGTACTTTAGATCTGTCATATAAGAGGGGTTACACAGTATGTGTCTTTTTATTCAGTATGTGATTTATTTCGTTTAGAAGAATGTCCTTAAGGTTTGTCCCTATTGTAGTATGTGACAGTATTTGCTTCCTTTTAAGGGTGAATGGATGTACAATTCTCTTTGAAATCCTGCTTTCAACTATTTTGGATATTTATCCGTTAAGTGGGATTGCTGGTAGTTCTATTTTCTATTCAGATAGTAGTTTTATTTTTTATTTTTTTATGGAGACGGAGGTCTCACTATTTTGCCTAGGCTGGCCTCAAACTCTTGGGCTCAAGCAATCCTCCTGCCTCAGCCTCCCAAAGTGCTGGAATTACAGATGTGAGTTACCACACCCAGTCTGGCAATTCTATTTTTAATTTTTTGAGAAACCTTCATATTCTCCACATTGTTTTCCATAGTAGTTGCATCATTTCACAATCCCACTAACAATGCATAAGAATTCAGATTTCTCCACATCCTTGCCAACCCTTGTTATTTTCTGTTTTATTTATTTATTTTTTAATAGTAGCCATCCTAATGGATGTACAGTGATATCTCATCGTGGCTTTGACTTGCATTTCTCTGATGGTTAATGATGTCAAGCATCTTTTCATATCCTTCTTGGTCATTTATATATTTTCTTTAGAGAACTGTCTATTCAAGTCCTTTGCACATTTTAAAAATGGGATTATTTTATTTTTATCATTGAGTTGTAGTAGTTCATTTATTCTGCATATTAACCCTTTATCAATGGAATGAGATATTTGCAAATATTTCCTCTCATTCCATAGGTTTCTTTTCACTCTGTTGATTGTGTCCTTTGCTGCCCAAAAGTTTTAAGTTTGATGAAAGTGAAGCAATTTTGCTGGGCACAGTGGCTCACACATGTAATCCCAGGACTTTGGGAGGCGGAGGCAAGAGGATTACCTGAGCTCAGGGGTTTGAGACCAGCCTGGGTAACATGGTGAAATCTTGTCTCAAGTAAATCAAAAGAAAATTAGGTGGGCGTGGTGGCATGTGCCTGTAGTTCCAGCTACCTGGAAGGCTGAGGCGGAAGGATCACCTGAGCCTAACAGGTTGAGGCTGCGGTGGCTGTGAGCGTGCCACTGCACTCCAGCCTGGGAGTCAGAGTGAGACTCTGTCTCAAAAAAATAAAGAAGAAAGAAAATAAAGCAATTTTAATAGAAAATGCCAAGATCTATACACTGGTGTGCATTGACACCATTCATTAAATGACCACTTAGCTTATGCTGCAAAGGAAAAGAATGGTTGATATCATTAATCTCTATGGAGCAGCTTCAAAAATCTCAATGGTTACCCTTTTTGGGGGGAAGGAGATGAAAAATACTTTAGAAGTAAACCTCTAGTTTCTATTTTTCCTTGTGTTATAACTTGCATCCTTCCTTTCTCTTTTTTTCTTTTAATTTTTTTTTTCTTTTAAAGATGTGGGGTACAATTCAGGGTTAGGTATACAAATGTTCATTATGCAGATATCCTTGTTGATGAGGTGTGCCCCTACTTCCCCAGGCAGATTCCCACTATTGCTAGTCCCGCATCCTTCCTCTCTTATACCTAAAGTGGAATCTTACTAACATGAAATCCTTCATCCTTGGAGGATGAGGGAAGCGAGGGAATAAGATGGGCTAGGATCCAGCTAGTGGGAAACCAACAAAATGGTTGAGTGAATCCCTGAATCACCCATCAAATTGCCATCTTTGTGGCCGGAACTCAGCATTCTTGGAACAGTTTTAGCGAAAGCTATTATTGGCATGAACTATTATGTTTGGCTTTACGTTATTTTTGGCTTTCCTTGTTTAGTTTATCTATACCTGGAGCAAGTTGTGTTTCATGTCAGTTTTATATATCCCCTGAAAGTAAATCACAAATACTATTTGTTCAGGGTTTAACTTTATTATCAAGTCCATGGTAAGTTTTCTCTAAATGATGTAGAGTTATTGATTCTAAGTTTATACGTGGAAGTCAGTTCACCTCATATGGAGTGACCTATTAAGAGTTTTTCGATCTCAGTCTTTCTGTTCTCCAGATTAAAAAAAGTCTCTCAAACTGCCTTTTCCTCCTCTTCCTCCTCCCCCTCCTCTTCCTCCTCTTCTTCCTCTTCTTCTTCCTCCTTCGAGTTGATGTCTCACTCTGACACCCAGGCTGAGTGTGGTGCCACAATCACGGCTCCCCCCAATCTCAAACTCCTGGGCTCAAGTTATCCTTCCATCTCAGCCTCCTGAGTAGCTGGACTATAGGTGCATGCCACCATGCTTGGTTAGTTTTTCGTTGCCCACGCTGGTCTTGAACTCCTGGGCTCAAGCAATCCTCTGGCCTCAGCGTCCAAAATACTGGAATTACAGGTGTGAGCCACTGCATCTGGTCTCTTGTCTTCTCCTTCTTCTTCTTCTTCTTCTTTTTTTTTTAACAATGGTAACAATAACAAAATACCTTAAAAGACTAGTTTCCTTCTATATAACAGTGGCATTTTTCCAAGAGCTTTAAAAACATCAAAACAAAATCTGTTACCCTGTCCCACAGAGAGGTCCTACTAGTGTCTACATCTAGACCTCTCAGTGGGAAGGGTGAAACACCAGAATTCTTGTGCCTGTTTTCACTTCATTACTGGAGCCTAGGAATGTAGAGTTTCCAGGTCTCATTTAGAAATGGGTTCAGACCCATGCAGCTTCGTAGAATCATCATACAGACTTTCCAGGAAGTGAGAGAAAAGGAGAGTTTCAGTTGATGTTCACCATCTCTGGGAGACTTATTTCTGCTCTGAGCTACTTATTTTTTGATTGACAATTGTGGGAAACATTTCTACTTTGGAACCTGATTGCAAAGTCCCAGGACTTAATGGCTCATCTACCCTAAACCCTGTGTGCACCCGGCAGCTCACACCACTACACAGCAGAGGCAGAAACATGATGTCATCAACCTAAGTGCACAGTGTCCAGTTAACCCAGAATGAAAAGGAGACCATGGCTATAGTAGCAGCCCCGACATGGTGCAGTAGAGAGCAGAGGTGCTTTAAGACCTTGGTCTTACAGGCAGATGTGGGTGTTGTGAATTTGCACAGAGAATAGTTTCTGTTTAGGATAATGTTACAAACTAACACGAGATTTTGATTTTTTCCCCCTCAGGCTATAAAATTGGTCTTAAAAATTTACTGAGGCCTGAAGTGAGAGACTTCTGGGAGAAATTAGGAAGCTACGTGGCCACTGAAGAAGAAGGGGGTCATGTGGACTTCTTTGTGCCCTTTGGAGCATCAGGTCAGCTTGGGACACACTAGAGAGAGACAGTGGTAATGCTACTTAATGGAGATATTTTGTGAACTTGTGAAATGCCTTTAGGTCAAGCTATTTAGTCACATTTCACTCTCCCCCAGCCCTTCTTTTTACCTCACATATCCAGGTACTTGGGAGAGGTAGGTGTTAGAGATAGTCACTAAACTGTTTTTGCAGAAATAAAGTCACTCATGAAAAGACTCAGTAGCATTATTTATATTCCTTCTGGAAAATACAATAAGATCAGCTTCCATTATATAATGGAATATATATTCCTGACCAGCATAGAAGCAATAATCATTCAATCTGAGAAAACTCAGCTACGTTCTAAACCTGGAGGGAGAATGAACTTGGTAACCAAAGACCTGAAGTTGAGTCCCTCTCATGGTACATTTTTTTTGGAAAGCAGGATTTACTGAGAAGGCAGAAAAACTCCCACAGCGGGAGGGGACCCAAGAGGGTTGCCCTCATGGTACTTTTTAGATGTGGGGCCTTAGGCGAACTTATGGACCTCCATTTTCTCATATGAAAGTTGGAATAACAGTCTTCACCTTATGGACCTGTGAATATCAAGATAATGCAAATATTTAAATAAATAACAATAAAAATACTTAGAAAATATTAAAAGCAGTGAAGTGCTTTGCAAAGATGAGTGTGGCTGACAATTGCTGAAGTCGCTGATGTCTTTTTAAGTTGCTGCCTGTCTAGAATCAGCCACTGTGATTCAAAGTTGATTTCAATGCTTGAAGGAAAAAACTTCAGAAATATTAAGTCAAATTCATTCTGTTAAATAAAATTTCTGCTTTCAAGTACTATCTTGCTTTACCAAGCAGAGCAGAGAAGAAGGAGTGTGAAATTAAATTTTCTCACACTGTTTCTTATTATCCATTCTTTAGGGAACTGTGACTTTTAAAGTTCTACCTAATCCTCAAATTTCACAGGACTACTCAGTCTATGCAAAGCATGCCCCTGGCAGGTTTCAATCAGGAAAAGAAAAAACAAAAAGGATGAGAAAGGGTTTAGAAGGAAACAATATACATAATATCATGAAGCATTTCCTAAATAACCATACAACATTATTACAACTATGTATGTGTGTGTGTGTGTGTGTGTGTGTGTGTGTGTGTGTGTGTGTGTGTGTGTAAAATCTCAACTCGGTGGAAAATATGCATTGAAAAATCAAGGAGGAAATATACCAAAACATTAATGGCATCTGTTTCTAGATGTCTTTTACAGTTTTTCTATTTTTGAAATAAGTTTTAAAGACTAGGTTACCAACAGTATGGATGGTGTGATTCCATTGTTTAACCATGCACATGTGTGGGTGGCATATGTGTGCACAGAAAAGGGTTTGAAATGATGTATACCAAAGCCTTAACACCAGCTGAATAGGACAGTAAGCGAGTTTTCCTTTCTTTTTTTCCCCCATTTTTAGCATTTACTTTTTTTTTTTTTTTTTGAGTTGGAG